ATATATATATATATATATATATATATATATATATATATATATATATATATATATATATATATATATATATATATATATATATATATATATATATATATATATATATATATATATATATATATATATATATATATATATATATCACTACATAGTATAAAACGCAGTCGCTTTCTCTGTAAATCTGTAATATCTTCGAAAATATTCATTTAAATCAGATGCTGTAAAGGGCCATATAGATCTATTTTGAATCAACAATGTATTTAAGGCATTTAATTGGATACGGATTGATGCTGTATTGGTTAAATTCGCTTCGAAAATTAGCCATTATTTGTCGTAAAAAGTAAATGACAAAAAAATGTTATTGTGGAATATCCATAAGAGATAGATATATACCATATCCGAGTTTTCTGTAGACCTTTCCAATGTGTACAATACTTAGTACATTATTTTGATGAATCTCATAGGGTTCAGCCTGCGTTTGCAATGTAAGCGAAAAAAATTTAATTATTTACGACATCACATTAGAAACCTCAAAAATAACAGTATTTCTCCACTATTTTATGGAAGTTATTATCAGTGTAAACCTTCCTCTTCAATCACTGTATCTATTTAAATAAAACCGCATCAAAATCCGTTGCGTAATTTTAAAGCTTCACGCATTTATAGGGATATAGGGACAGTTTGTAACAGTTATTTTATACTATGTAGTGATATAGTTCTGATAGATAGGTAATCGAATTAAATTGTACAAGCTATTGAATCTCTGACACGATAACAATTTCGCCAATCTAAAAAAGCTATAAATGGGAAGAGTATAACATATTTAGGTACTAATCTTATAGGTGGAAATATTTTTCATCTGGTTGCTTCGCCTTGAAAAATTCCTTTGACAGTATATGATATTAAAACCCATTCTCAACAGAATATATCGTATATCCTACACGAATCGCCTTGATCTCATAAGAGACAAATATGTGACTAACACATTGGGTGTATCAATTTCTTGAAAAATTATGTTGACTGCACCCGCCTCCGTGAGTGAACTAATGCATCAAGTATGGAAATTGAGCCTACGGGACTTGGTGGTGAATACTTGTCCCATTCGAAAGACTTATCAAACCATTTGAAGGATAAATTTTTTAAAAGTTATCCTCTCGACTCATACAAGATACAAAACTCACTATATCTATATATAAGATATAGTGAGTATATCTAATATATATATATATATATATATATATATATATATATATATATATATATATATATATATATATATATATATATATATATATATAAGATTGCAAAAAAGTAGATATATATATATATATATATATATATATATATATATATATATATATATATATATTTAATATTTCAAATAACAGGCTATTTTCAATGTTTAAAACTTTATTACAGGTTAGATTTTATATCTAACGGAAATAATTACCTTCCCCTACCATATATTCTAAAATTGAGTACAAAGATTGCTGAAATATTTAAATCTTATAATTTAATAATAGCACATACTGCCAAAAATCAAATCGAAGAAATATATACCAAATTGAAGAGTGAAACAAAAACGCAGAAAAAAACTCATACTGTTTATTATATACCGTGTAATAATTGCAGTAAATGCTATATAGGACAAATATCTCAAAATCTCGAAGACAGAATTAAAGCGGATAAATACGCAAAAACTCAAATATCAGCCTCAAATAAATATAAAATAACAGAAAAACACGATTTTGATTATAACAATACAAACATTTCAGCAACTGAAAAAGACAAAAAATGTACAGAGATATTTTATAAATGTTACACATTCGTAAAAATTTGGAAAACACAGTAAATGGGAGATCAAACATTAAACATCTTAATTCTATTCAAAACGATCTAATAAACCTTACAAGTAACACTCATGAAATTAATACACAACAATCACCAAACATCATATCCCAAAACTCATTCTTTCCAGATTTACCTTCAATTTCACACATAAACCAATTAATATACATATTCTGGATAAGTATAAAACTCTATAAATCTATAATTGCATATAGTATGCAATTATAGATATATATATATATATATATATATATATATATATATATATATATATATATATATATATATATATATATATATGTATTTTGAAAGTTTTTAGTATTAACAGGCTTTTTTAATATGAAAAAGTTTATTTCTGTTGACGTTTCGTTGTTATATTACAACTTTGTCAAAACTAATGAATAATTGAATTTATGAGTTAAACAGGCAATAAATCAATTTCAAGATATATATATATGTATATAAAAATCACACTTATAAGAATCACCTGGCTTACCATGAGTTTTTCAGGGTTTTCCTCATGGCGAAGAAGACTAAAACTTCCGAAGCGAATGCTAAGCCAGAAATATTCCTCTGATACTGAAAACCAATATGTGAAAATATAGAAATACAGAAAAAGTAATTTGATTTTTAAAAAAATGAGTTTGACATTTTGATATCTATAGTAATTCATAAAATTCAAATATTCATTAGTTTTGACAAAGTTGTGATATACAACGAAACGTCAACGAGAATAAAGTTTTCCACATTAGAATAAGCCTGTTATGGCTGAAAATATTGAAAATAAACTATCTTAAACAGGCAATAAATATTATATATATATATATATATATATATATATATATATATATATATATATATATATATATATATATATATATATATATATATATATATATATATATATATATTATAATATACTGTCATTACATAGTTATCACATTCTAGTATAAGTAGGTTAAGCATATACGATGAAATGACACATGGACAGAATTATTGCAAAGTTGAAGAAAGGTGAGAGGTTGAGTGTTAAGGTGATTTTGTTTATCAGCCTTGTGAGTTTAAGACAACTTGCAGTGATGAAAAACTGCGTTCTACATGCATAAAATTCAAAGTAAGGACAATATGACCGGACGATGAATGAATATGAATTACATGAATAGTCGCACCAATCCTTGCATTCAGGATACAAATATATCAACAATGTAATGTATGCTCCGACTGAAGTAGTTGCTCAATTCTGTTAGATTTCGATGTTAACGGTGAAATCATTAGTGAGTTATAATGTGTTGATAGTTACTGCAGTTGTACTGGCAATAAAATTAAAATTATCCTGTTATCAAGACATAACGATAGAACAAATTGAAAAGTAGCAAGGTGTATATACTATGAAACTAGATCAATATGTTCCCTTTATATAATTTACAATCGAATGTGTACTTATACACAATTTCAGGTATAAGCTCAATTTGTAAAGTCAATAGACTGATAAACTACGGCTATACCTGTCGACATCATTTAAAAAACTTATGATATAAAAATATATATATATATATATATATATATATATATACATATATATATGGAAATTAAAATATGTATAAGTATATACACAAATGTATATGAATACACACATATGCACACACACATACATACAGTTTTTGTGCCTAATGGCACTAAATGAAATATTCAAAAAAAAATAATACTACAATATTCATTCGAAAAAATCAAATGTGTTTCGATGTGATGCCTCCACTATCCTTCAAGCAATAAATGTTAAAGAAATATTGAAATCGAGGCCACACTTGATGGAAGTGCAAGACAGCTGTTTCGTTTTGCAAAGAACTCGTCCATTGCACCCCGTATATCGAAGTGGAGAACCGCAAAGTAATGAATACTTCACATAGGAATCAACAGAAAATATCTCCCAAATCATAGACACACTGACCATCGAACGCACACACATCTTCTATAACCAAAGCTATCTACTGAATTATCATCATGTGATGTTGTACAGGCTTATTTTATATAATTTTTAATAGGCCCCTGCAATACAGGAAGAATTGCGAGCGTACTATTAACGCACCCTATTGACATATGAGAGATGTTTTATATTGATTCCTATAGGTGGAACTGTGAAGTATTTATTACTCGAAGGTTCTTCACTTGGAGTCATAAGAAGATGCTTGAAATCGAGGCCTCACTTCTATGGATGTGATGCAACTGACGAATCATTGCAGAACGAAACAGCTGTCATGCAATTCCATCACGTGTAGCATCGATTTCAATATTTCTCTAACATTTATTCCTTAAAGGATAGAGGAGGCATCACATCGTACACGTTTACATAGCTAGCTCTAGGTATTTTAACATTCTTTTGATTCATTTGAATTTTTCCAATGGATGATCTAGCATTCATTTTTATGTGTATATATATATATATATATATATATATATATATATATATATATATATATATATATATATATATATATATATATATATATATATATATATATATATATATATATTTCTTGAAATTCATTTAATATCAGATTAGTGGAGTGCTCTATGGAAATTGGCTAATGAACGTGGTAAAAATATCAACAAACTTTCGAATAATTATATTTATAAAGACGTTGAAAAAACGTGAATTATAGAAAATGTATTACAGTGAAACAACTATACTAATTATAAGTTATATATATAATTATATATTATATAATTATATATACTATTATAATTATATAATTATAATTATATAATTATAATTATATTATAATTATATAATTATATTATATAATTATAATATAATTTAATAATATAATTATATTATATTATTAAATTATATTATTTTACAAAGTTGTAATATAACAACGAAACGTCAACAAAAATGAACTTTTTCATATAAAAAGCCTGTTATTGCTAAAAACTTTGGAAATAAAATATCTTAAACAGGCAATAAATCAATTTCAAGAAATATATATATATATATATATATATATATATATATATATATATATATATATATATATATATATATATATATATATATATATATATATATATATACATATGTGACATGGACATGAAGATATTATTTTTTTACAAGAATTGTTGTATATGAATTGAAATTGCATCTCGAAGTGGAGACCTCGGTAATTTAGCGGTCAAAAACAGCGGGGCGTAAACCTGAAGACCTGGGTTCGAATCCCAGTCGAGATCGAAAACTTTTAGATGTGACTTCAATCTTTCAATTTTCACTATGAAGATGTGTGTGTGTGTATAGTTGTATTTCCATGTGTATAGTTGTTTCACTGTAATACATTTTCTATAATTCACGTATTTTCAACGTTTTTATGAATATAATTATTCGAAAGTTTGTTGATATTTTTACCACGTTCATTAGCCAATTTCCATAGAGCACTCCACTAATCTGATAATATACAGTCATAGACGTTATTTCGATACAGACGTCGCTTCGAACTTCGAAGAAACTAGTATGAAAAAGTGAAGTTATTCTTCTTAACTGCCTTCCTTTGATAATGTGATCGTTGGCAATTTCGAAAGATATCGAGGTATTTCAATACTGTTGAACAAAAGACAGTAAATCACATTATTCGGCATCACAATGATTTTCATACACAGTAATGCAGAGGTTTTATGTCCAAGGATTCACTAGGTCACACTGATGTCTATGTATTGCAAATAAACGAATCATAACCTCCTCCAAAGTGTACATGGTGGTACACAATCGTTACGCTGGTAAACCATCGAAATTTCCGCCAAAAACAACGCATGCGAAAAACGCTTGTCGTTGTTTCTGAAAAAATGTTTCTAAAATTATTGAACATTGTTCGGGATGTTTTTTATTGATTTCGAACAAGGCAACATTTTCAACGTTTATCATATTAAATAATATTTCAGTCGAAACCTCTACCTCCATTTTGTTACCAAATATATTTCATAATATATAATCCAGAAGCTGTGTTTTATTTTTAAAAAACTTCGTTTATGTGCTATAGGCTCGTTATTCCGCGCGTTAATACAAATGAAAACTTACGTAATGAAGATAACGAAATACAAGGGTTCATTGAATCTCGAAAGCATATCCAAGAAGAAGCTTGTCACGCTCCCCAGCTCCAGGCGAGATGGCACAGATGTTGATATCCTTCCGCCTGCATCGATTCAAGCGTAATTTGAATGAAAACACTCTATCTGATTAATATCCAGCACAATGAACGCACAAGCAACATTACCTCACATTTTCATTGTGTAAAAATCGCGTTGTTTAAGAATAGTTAATTTATACTTCCAGGATACATTGCACGTACAAATTAACAAATATCACTTTCAATTAACAGTCCAATTAAAATTCATTCATACTAACAACAATAAACCTCGGCGTATCTGAAATACAGTAACTCGAATTACCTAACTGCGCAAACCTCTTATTAGATATAACAAAAGAATATCATACCGATATCAAATGAATGTTTCACATCTGTTACAACGAATCTTTTATGTTATTACCGACTGTTACGAAATGAATTGGTATTTGCCATTATATTTTTGCATCATCAATGTCGATTAAATACAGTTAGATCCAAAGGTTTCGAATAAATTGAATAATTACCATTGAACGAATGTAATAACTGTACTGATTAATATAAATAACAAATTGAAAAGAAAAAATTTAACACCCGTTAGTAGAGGCTTTTTATTGCGACAGTATTGTTGCATAATACCAGCTGTATTAAATGTTTTGAATGATCCCGCAATTCGACCGGTAAATATAATATCTCTGCTCTGATTTGAAATGAACTTGGTAGCTTAGATTTGGTAGTGTTAAGTAAGCTAACCTTATCTAACCTGATCTTCCTGAGACAATGAATTTCACAAACGGCTATTCTCAATGTTATATCGAATTACTGCGACTCTGGTTCATAAAGCTTCATCAAGTCAACGGATATTTCAATATTCATTATAGATTACGATCATTCTATAAAACGAAAAATGAATATATATAATAAGTGAAAAATGCGTAACCTCTCAATTTTTTCTATTGAAACCCTCGAGAAAATTGAAGAAACCTGGAGAGTTCCAATTTCGACTGCATAAATTGTTTTCTACGGCAACTGTATATAAGTCTGAAGGTAATATAGGAATTATAAACAGTAGGGGTGAATTTTTTTATAGCTACAGAATTTTAAAGTGCAATAAAACAACGATGGATCATTCGATTGACAAGAATTTTTTTTTTTTGATCGAAATATAATCTTGTGGCATTACATTTTAAATATGATTTCTGGCATATGACCGCCACGGTTGGCTCGGATGTAGTCCAATCTGGACGTCCAATTTTGGATGACTTTTTCCAAGATTTATGGCCGTATATCGGCAATAACATGGCAAATATTGTCTTCCAAATGGTAAAGCGTTTGTGGCTTATCCGCATAGACCAATGACTTCACATAGCCCCACAGAAAGTAGTCTAGCGGTGTTGAATCACAACATATTGGAAGCCAATTTACAGGTCCAAAACGTGAAATTAAGCGGTCACCAAACGTGTCTTTCCATAAATCGATTGTGGCACGAGCTGTGTGACATGTTGCGCCGTCTTGTTGAAACCACAGCTCCTAGACATCATGGTTGTTCAATTCAGGAATAAAAAAGTTAGTAATCATGGCTCTATACCGATCACCATTGACTGTAACGTTCTGGCCATCATCATTTTTGGAGAAGTACGGACCTTCTGATTCCACCAGCCTATAAAGCGCACCAAACAGTCAGTTTTCCTGGATATAACGGTGTTTTGACATACACTTGAGGAGTATCTTCACTCCAAATGCGGCAGTTTTGTTTTTTGACGTAGTCATTAAACCAGAAGTGCGCTTCATCGCTAAAAAAATTCGCGCGATACGTATTCCGCACAGAACCATTATTTTCGAAATGAAATTGCACTAATTGCAAGCCTTGTTCAGGCATGAGTCTGATCATGACGAATTATCAAACCAAACTGAGAATAAATCACTTCTCAGCTGTTAAATCGGGCGCCATCTTCAACAGTAATGCCTACCTAAAGTTCTATACCTCTAAAAAAACACCCATTATTTCTATAATTGAAATTATGTACGGCATACATATATCTGTTGAATTTCGAAACACTACTTGTTTGACGACAGACGTTTCTATGAGATATTAATGAGATTCAGCTGGATATACAAACATCACTATCAATATTGGATGTTTCTCGAATGTTTAGTTGTCAGGGCTAGGTTTCTTCAAATAATTTTAATTTCTACTGAAACTTTGTCTAGTTTTCTTTATAATGAATACAATTTAGAATTCTGTAAATATAAATGATGGGCAGTTAACAGGATATACTAATTATTATTTCTGTTGAACTTAATAGGAAAATTTAGAAGGAACCACGTTAGGATGGTTCCTTCAATTGACGATATTTCTTTAATAATCAAATTTGTAAAAGTAATTTTCAAATTGAATATTTAATAGTGTTGGCGTTTACTGATGTAAATCTATTATAATTGAATATAAACTAAAACTCAAACACTTGAACTTTTGATTTACACTTTATTGACAACATAGCATGACGCCTTTCGTCGTTACAAACAACTTCTTCAGATGCTAACAGAATACTCTTTCTTTTTTCTCTTCTGAATTCTGAACAGTATTCTGTTAGCATCTGAAGAAGTCGTTTGTAACGACGAAACGCGTCATGCTATGTTGTCAATAAAGTGTAAATCAAAAGTTCAACTGTTTGAATTTCAGTTTATATTCAATTCGAATTGAAGATCAAAAATGAAACATAAGTAAAATAGTGCACAAAGTGATTTATAAATCACTCTACCAGGATATAAGAGAAATTCGTAATTTGCATAGATGCAGAAACATAGCACATCAAAAAGTGGATTTTCGATAGAGGAGGGAAGTTTTCCATGGAGTTGGTTGATTGCTGACTACGGAATAAGTTCAGTAATTTGAATTAATTAATTATGAATATTCTTATAACAACTGCTTTCTTAAATTATTCTTTCAAAAACTTTGATAACCAATTATGACGATTCTACCTGATTATCAGATAATATCAGCGCTTATGACGATTCTGCCTGATTATGAGACAACATTATCAATTGAGACGAAACATCTATTGCGACATTTCTGGAGTAATAAGAAAGAAAAGCTTAGAAAGCAAATTCTATTTATATTCAGTACCGCAGACAGTTTTTATTCAAGTGTCTGCGATTATGTTCATATTCAAGTGTTATGGTATGGATAATTTTGTTTAATTGCGAATAAACTTTATTATTATATATGGGTAAGTGAATACAGAGGAATTTTTTCTTCTTCTCTATAATATAATAATAATATAACATGTTATATTGACAAACTCTAGTCTAGATAATCTACAAACAAATTCGTGCAGTTCTTTTCTCAAACTTTCTGTGAAGATTAGATGTTTTCATGATCAATATGAAGTGCGTTTCGAAAAATCATCGAACTTGTTGAATGAAAATACCATGCAATTGTTTCATCCTTTTTAGGAACCCTCAGTGATATTTATTCGAACAATCTCGAATTTATGACTTTCAAACGCCCAATGTCCTATCTTCAGAATGAGGAGAATATCTGTTCGTGAACTTATCACGTGAGCTCCCTCTATCGAAGAAATCACCTATAAACTCTCTCAAGTATTCTAGATTCCTCCCTCGTGACATTCTCCTTCTCTCGTGATTACTTCACGAATTAATGTTCTGATCATTCTGAAGGTAGGACCTGGAGGCGTTTGAAAGTCTTCAGCTTTTTTTAACGATTTGCGGTAACAAACGATAATTTCGATTTTAAAAGAATAATCAAATTCATGTCAGATTATATCAAAGATAAAACAGTAGGTGATTTTTAAAACAGAGCGAGGGAACATATGCCATTAGTGGTTGAATCTCACTTCTCAATCGTTTTTTTCCCATTACTATCAAATGATCGTCAATCTCACACACTGGTTTCGAAAGTAGGATACAGTTCATTTCAAAAAATTAATTCAGTGTCCTTGCTCTGAAGTCTGCAATCACCAGAAGCCTGCCTCCATAGAAGTTGGGTAACCTCGAATCGTCAACTAAAGATGGCATGTCAGTAGGTGTGTCAATTACGTTCGTTATTCAGAACAATCCAATTCATGAAGCATGCCATGCACCTGCTATGAAGGT